CGGGTTCATCCGTGTCGATTCCTTGATTGGCCAATGATACCACGTTCCCCTCCTCTTGTCCCGCTGTCTCGGCTTTCCCAGCCTTGTGTCAGGACCGATGAGAACTATTGCAGCCCGGATTCACTTTCAAATGCTGTTCATTGGCCATCTTCAGACTTCAGCAAGCCTCCATCGTTCAGCTCGACCTCGATGTTACGATGCTTGCTGATCTTGGTTTAACCCTGCGTCGGGAACGCAGATTGTGGCTTGCAGTTCGGGCCTGAGAACGGCCCGTTGCGACAACCGTGCATCGCGCCGGCCTCAAAGCGCGGACTGAATTATGCAACGTCAATCCATTCCAAGCTTTCTTCGCACACTACAACTTATCCAATACACTGGCAAAGAGGCTTTTGGGCTTTCGACCATCTCGCGCTAGCAGCCCTTCCTCGTCAGAAACGCAGGCTTCCCCGCTTGTCTTACTCGACTAGACAAAAAGGAACGCCTATTCCCGACACCCTGCGCATCAGCCCTACATGGCTAAGACCAAGATGATTCAACGGCATGATTCGTGGCTTATCCCTCCATGCCAATCCCCTGAGAACCCACCAAATGTCTTCCTCTGAGGCGCCCACCCGGACCCGTCCAGTGGGCATAAAAGGGAGCCTGGCTACCGCGAAGGATTCCAGGGTGGAAACTACAGGGTTCGCTAGAGCGGATCCATCACTCGAACATTGACGCGTGCTTTCACCATGGGCTTCTTCAAGTCGTGTCTCGATTTCATCTTGCACATTGCAAGTCCTTTTGCCGACCAATATGGGAGCCAGAAACCACTCTTCGGCCCCGAGATACCCATCCATGGCGACAGCCAAGTCCATGTTCCTGTGGTGAAACCTGCGACCTACCCGGCCATTGACCCGAGCACTTGCCGCTACCCTATCCTTGAATCGCAGGGCTACGAGCTCTGCAATGATCAGTCAAGGGGGTGTTGGCTGACAAAGTACGGGTCTCCTGAGTTCAACATTGGCACTGACTGTGAGCTACCTATCCTTCGGATTTTGAAACCCAGGCCGTAATTCCTTGTGGACTGGCGAACTCATGCTGACATACCTTTCCAGATGAGAACACGGTGCCCGTTGGAATTGTGAGAGAGGTTAGAACACCGTCACTGTCGGAATCCTGGTTTTCTGTTCAAGTGCTGACCAGAACAACAGTATACCCTCGACGTTGCCCCAACACCCAACGTATGTGTTACTTGGTTTTAAACGAGTAGACGCAGCGCTGACTTTCCTCCAGCTGTCCCCAGATGGCCAACCAAAGGTCAACGGCGTCACCTTTAACGGCACGTACCCGGGGCCGGCCATCGAAGCTTGCTGGGGTGACTTCATCGTCGTCCGCGTGAGAAACAACTACTTTGACAATGGCACCACCGTGCATTGGCACGGCATCCGCCAGCTGCACTCCAACGAGATGGACGGTGTAAACGGCGTCACCCAATGCCCGATCCCCTATGGTGAGGAATACGTCTACGCCTTCAGGGCAACCCAGTACGGACACACCTGGTACCACAGCCATTACTCGCTCCAATATCCCGACGGCGTTGCAGGGCCCCTGGTCATCCACGGGCCCACAAGCGGTGAATGGGACATCGACGTTGGCCCCATCCTCATCTCGGATTGGATCCACGACACTGCCTTTCAGGCGTTCAACTGCGAGGCATACGACTGCGGCCCCAACAGCCCGCCAAAGGCCGACAATATTGTTGTCAACGGCATCGGACCATTCAAGCAACCAGACGGCACGTTCACCGTCAACTACTTCAAGGCCACCTTCCAGGCGGGCAAGAAGCACCTTCTGCGCTTGATCAACGGCTCCGCGTCGTCGAGCTTTGTGTTTTCCATCGATAATCACACCATGACGGTAGTCTCGAGCGACTTGGTAGCAGTGGAGCCCTACGTGACTGACTCGCTCCTGCTCGGCATCGGTAAGCCAACCCCCTGAACTCTCTCCCCTACATGCATCTAAGCCTCCACTCACACTTGAAAAACAACACAGGCCAGAGATACAGCGTGATAGTCGAGGCCGACCAGAAAATAAGCAGCTACTGGATGCGCACCGCCCCCGCCGACAAGTGCAACTCGTTCCGCTTCAACAAGACAGCAAACGAGTACACCCAAGTCAAAGAGACCACAGCCATGATCGCCTACGAAGATGCCCCGCCGGTGCCTTACCCGGACGACACATCCGTGAAGCAAAGCGACGTGACAGCAGCTTGCATCGACGAGTCCATGGATCCGAACCGGCTCGTCCCCGTCGTGTCGTGGATCGTCGACCCGCAGCCGGCCAACAATGTCACGCGGGACTCGTTCACCGCGGCCCTTGATAACCATAATATCACGCAGCTGGTTCCCGACCAGCCGTTTGCGCACTGGCTGCTGGCTAATGATACGCAGTCTAACCCGCTCTGGGTCGACTTTGGCAATCCAACGATTCTGGATCCGATGCGGGATACCAACTTTTCTTCCATTGTGAGGTGTACGTTTCCCTTGGGATTTTGTGTGTAAATGACAGAACCTGCACTAACGCCCTCTGGTCGCTGGTAGTTGACCAATCCTTCGGCTTTGTATACCTGATCATCGACGGGAGCTATCTCTTCAACTACAGCTCGCAGTTCCTCGAGATTCCCACTGGTATGCGTATCTTCCATATAATTCCAATTTGTTTTCAACCACACAACGAGGTTTACTGACCAAATACAACAAAAAAGCGCATCCAATCCACCTCCACGGCTCCGACTTCGTGATCCTCGCCCAAAACACCAGCACCTACGACCCCGACGAGAGCCCAAAGTACTTCAAGTTCGACAACCCCGCGCGCCGCGATGTTGCGATGCTGCCCGCCGGCGGGTATCTCGCCATCTCGTTCAAGCCGGACAACCCCGGCGCATGGCTGATGCATTGTCACATTGCCTGGCATGCTAGTTCCGGTATGTCCATGTCGAGTTTCCCCGTTGTATCAAGTAATGAGTGCAGTGACTGACATGCAATAGGCTTGGCTCTCCAGCTGGTCGTGCGGCCCAAGGAGATCCGTGATGGAAATGGGCCCCTGAGTCCGGTTCGGAGGATCTGCAAGCTGTGGAATAACTGGGCTGGGACGAATCCTATTACCCAAACTGATTCTGGTATTTGAGAGTGGTCAGTTGATGCATGATGAGCTTGTCTGAACGGGAACAGTTCGCAGCTGTATTGTCTCAGGTAGCCTTTGAACAAAATAATCGACGTCGCACTTTGACACTCTTGCATATATGTTACTTAACCATCGATTCCATTGGAGCCGTAACCGTAGGGCAAACAAGCACCGATTATAAATGTCCTGTCAAAAGCCATATAAAAGGTTCCCAGGTTCCCCTCAGACTAGGTAGCATTCCCTCCTATATGCTCCCATCTATCAACCGACCGTATCTCGTATTGTAGCCTATCTTCTGTTCTGAACCTACATTAGTTCCCGGTCAGCCCTATCCCCCGTTGAACACCCGTCGCCTAGGCTCGGAGCTGAAAATCATGGCTTGCTGAGGGCCCGGGCTGCATTGGCTCGCTGCAGCCCTGCGGGGAACCGGCACTCACGCCAGACCATTCACAAACATTATCCGTGCTCTCAGCCAGCCACCCGCAACATCGAAACTGAATTAGTGCCGAACTCAAGAGTACTGGAGGCTTGCCACTTTTTGTGTACAAAACACCCCTATCTCAGCTCTTTCTTCCTCCCTCAGTCCCTCCATTGTCATCATCGCTTCCATCATCATTCCTCGCCCAGCTGCTCATCATACCGCGAGCGCATCAGATACAATAAACCGTTCAGGACATAGCCCAACATGCAGTCAAAGCCCATCTACTTGCTCCTCCCCCTCCTCTCCGCCATCCTCGCAAAGGCAAGCTACGCCGACGCGTCAACGCAAACCGACGGCTCGGACGCCACCGCCGTAGCGAAGTGCTGGGTGGGCCAGATACACGATGCCTGCAACGGCTCTCTAACGGGCTGCACGCCAGCTGGGATATTTGTACGTCACGGGTATATCGCTTACAGAACCTCATTCGCGAGCCTTGCCTCTTAGTCTCAGCACACGAGTTTTGGCTAACATGTCTGTTTGTTTCACTCACAGGTCGTCTGCGATGAAGGCAGCGGCCAGATGATCTTCAAGAACATGTGCGGGTCCGGAGTCGGGCAGGGCTCCTGCGGCTGCATTGATGGAGTGTCGGGGTGCGTGACGGTTCCTACGCCTATGGAAAGTGGGGGTGATGAGGTTTCCGAGGGGGGTGAATACGCTGCGCAGGTGGAGGAGAAGAAGGAGCTGTAGGGTAGAGGTTGGTTTGGGCAAGCAGGTATCTGGATGATCGACATGGGTTGAGGAGTTGAAGCGGAGGATGAGGAGGATCAAGGGGTTCAGCTTCGAGTTCGAGCTGGCGGGTCGATATAATTATTTGAGAACAAGGTGACTAATTTGAACAAGAAGACAGTCGAGCAGTCCCCTCAACCTGATATCTGACGTTTGTCGTATTAGAACAGTGAACCAAGAGTGAAACAAATGAGTTGAAGTGTCGTTTGTAAAACTGAGCTTGAACACTCACAAACGCGGTGAATGCTACGACCCATGACCGATAGCTGTGCGCTTCTATTGAAAACGATTCGGATACTATATTGACAAAATTGTACATTTTGAGCTCGTAACAAAAACAACGTGAATGATTCCAATCAAGCCGTGGACCTAATGTCCCCAAACAGCCCCGTTTTGATCGGTTGTTTTTTTTGCATGGGTTATCGTGGACCATGATAACCGGTGAACCACAAGTGTCATGTCGCTTATCTCATCGCCCACTGATTTCTATGTCACAAACTTCTTTGTTTGCACGCAGAGAGCCGAAGCGGGCACGATGTAATACGGGCGGCATACAAAGAGGGGGAGAAAGTGGGGCACACATTGTTACATAGGTGGGTATAGGTTGAGTACCCCTCAACAAACAGCACTAGGTTCCGTGGTGTAGTTGGTTATCACGTCAGTCTAACACACTGAAGGTCTCCAGTTCAAACCTGGACGGAATCATATACATTTCGTTTTTGCACTCTTGCTAACCGTTTCTTTTTTCGTCTCCGCCAGTCACCTAGTTGGATTCCCATTCCGCAAATCTGTTTTTCTCGGTTTCGATATTCCGTTTCCATCAAAACATCTATTTACACCTCCAGTTCTGTACTGGCGAGCTTTGCATCGGAGGAGCTCGGATTTTACACCCCCATCATTGACTCAAGATGATTCGTGGCATTCCTTCAACAAAGAACTCAGCCAAGGAGACCCAATTCCAGTCGCTTCGAACTATTGCATTATCTGGCTATCGTGTAGCTCCCCGAGACAAGCAAGTTCCACACCTTCTAATCGATTTCGATGATTTCATGTCGACCCTTCCCGTCGCGCAACCCAGTTGCCCCGACCAAACCCGCCGCGACAAGACGAGGCCAGTGGTAAGGAACGCTGCTAAAAGCCCGGGTAGTTGAGACTTGACCTCAACGCATAGGTGATAACAATACCACCGCCGACAACTCCATGGAGTATATATCATTGAACATGAAGCTTGATGCGGCAGTGCTGCCTTTTCGGAAATCCCATATACAGTATAATCCTCTGTCGATAAACAACCCCGCCCGAGAAGGGGCATGATTGCATGGATTAGTGATCATGTGCACAGCCAAGCCGTTGGCAAGCAATGCCGCTGTGCCGTCTCACAAATTTACGTCATCCTTAATTCAATTCATGACCTATAGCTCTTGGCCCGCGGTGTCGGAGGCATTGCTTTTGATCAGTAATCGACGAAAAGGCACGCACATTCAAGCAAGCTGGAGAATAATCCACACGGAGCACCTCATAGTCTCGAAGTTGGGTGGGGCATCTTAACTACCTACGGAGCGTTCGAGAAGCACAAGCCCACGAGTGGAACCTTGATGATGAAAACCGAGCTGGAATCTTTACAAATGAGAAAAAGAAGAATTGGTTTTTTTTTTTTTTTTAAAAAAAAAAAAAAAAAAAAAAAAAAAAGCCCACTGGTTACGCCAGCAGAAATAATATGAGACATTGTGAATTGCTGTGCAAAAATCGAGGTGGGTTGTGTGAAAATGCAGCAAAAAAAAAAAACATACAACACCGGGGATTCGCTGGTGGTCACCCACCCAACTACTAGTCCGGCGGTCGCTTGCTTATCTAGGGCAGAGCGGACGGGATGCCGAGTTTTCAAGTGCCTATGGTCGTATGTGCCAGGTTTCTCCAGTAATGGCCATTATGATTGAGCGTTCCAAGGAGGTGTGAATTTGTGTGGAGATTCCAGTCAGGATCGTTCATTCAGGGGTCACTCAATTCACATCGGCGACATCCACGTTCTCGACACATACACAACACTAACCGACTAGGCGCTAGAAGATTCTAATGCAATTAGTACGAGCCATAGAGAAAGCTCCAATCAGTCTTCGTTTAGAGTTTCTATCTGCACGAGGGAGGGAGCTGAAAGAGTTTTGTTTTCGAACGGGCTATGCATTTTTACCCCTATCTCTGATGCATTGATGTTCAGGGCGTGGAGGCTCATGCCAGTAATCCAACACAATGGTCTTAGACACGAAGAGAACAGCAATGATGTTCTTTTTCCAGACTGCCATCAGACATGCCCATCGCCGTAGAACACTAAAGCTTCTCCTTGTCCGCAGGCTCCTGCCACGCAGACGGCTTGTTCTCCCTAGCCCATAGCTTCTCGGCCTCGCTATGCCCTGTTTTTAAAGTCCTTTTGTGTCAGCCACGCCTCGCCCAAAAACAAGAAAAATACCTATTGAACAGCGGCCACCACTTACACGGCGGGGGAATAAACCCATTAATCTTCCACAACTCGCGCGGGGTCTCATCGATGTGAAACTCCCAATCGTACCCCTTATCCGCGACATGCGGCTTGAGGACCTGGTCGACGCGGGTGATCATGCTCAGCTGCCGCGCGGCCGTGTCTTCGAAGTTGCCAAAGTGCACGGCGATGTGGTCGACCGAGATGCGGATGAAGGGCTTCTTGCCCCCCGCCGCCGGGCTCTCGCCGCCGACAAAGATGTTGGAGCCCGGCAGCGTAACGTAGTTGACGATCACGTAGAACGCCGGCAGCCCTGCGTTGGTGTAGATGCGCGTGATGTCGGCGGCGAGTGTCTGTTTGGACTCTGGGGTCGTGAAGGTCCCCTCGGGGTGGTAGATTAGCCAGAGAGGCATTGTGGGGGATTATGGATGTGGTGAGATTGTGTGTTATATCTTTTTAGATCTGATGGTTGGTACTTTGGACCAATAGGTTTGACGGATTGATTTAGAAAGATTGAGACGGGCTGGGGATCCGAGTAAAAGAGGCTTTGGACCCAATCATCACTTTCTTTTCAGCCATGATCTTATAATTAAATCGATCGGAATTATGTCTCCGACCATATCGGCGCTGTGTGTAAACCGACGAGTAGTTGCAGCAAATGCTCATAATCATTTAATCCCTAGGCTGTGTCCAAGCCTTTTTTCATGGCACAGGCAATGTTAGCCGGTGTGGTGCAATGTCTGGTGTCTCCGTTTGGTGATCAATAATCAGTAATCAAGCCCGCGGCCCAGAGTCTTGCTTTGACCCAACGAACACACCCGCCAGATGCACGGCAAATGTGGCTTAGACGGGAATATTGGAGGGCTGAAATGCGCGTACGGCATACCCGATCGTGGCGTATCGTGCCTGGCATAACTCGGATCCGATCATCTCATCGGCATCTATCATCGTGCATTGGTAATCCGCTTCAGCCAGGAACAACCCTCCTTTATTGGTGCTCTCAAGGATTGAGATATGTAGAGCCATCCAGATACTGCAGGCTCGTTTTTATAAAAGCAATCACCATCCATCCATGACCTCACATTTCACAATCCAGAACACCAGACCATTCCTCAACATACCTCCAGAGCACTACTTTCATCAGCCACTCATCGAATCCCTCCGCACATTTAATCACCTACCACTCTCCGCTTCAAGTCTACTCAATCACCTAGAAAAACAAACAACAACCCCTCCCAATGGCCGGCTCACTCATCTTCATCACCGGCGCGACGGGCTTCATCGGCGCGCAGGTCGTGCAGGACACGGTCAAGGCAGGCCACCGCGCCCGTCTCAGCGTCCGCCGCGAGGCGCAGATTGAGGAGGTCAAGAGCCGATACCCATCGCAGTATGCCAGCCAGCTCGAGTTTGTCGTCATCCCCGACATCAGCAACGCCGACGCCCTCCGCTCCGCCCTCGGCGACGACGTCGAGTACATCTTCCACATCGCGTCGCCCATGCCGGGCGCGGGCTCCGACTTCAAGACCGAGTACCTGGGCCCTGCCGTCAAGGGCACCGAAGCAATCTTGGAAGCGGCCGCCGCTGCACCCAACGTCAAGCGGGTTGTGATTGTCTCGTCTCTCTTGGCTTTGATGCCGCTTAATGGACTGCAGATTCCCGGTCTGGTGATCAAAGGTACCTAACTTGCAACCCCTTTTATTGTCAACAATAACATGCAGTATGTTAACACGACACGCAGCGGGCGACAACAGCTCCATCAACATCGACCCAGACATGGCCTTCCCCGAAGGCCCCGGCGGCAACGGACCCAAATACTCCGCCTCCAAGATCCTCGCGCACCGCGCCACGCTGGCCTGGATGCAAACACACAAGCCGCACTTCACCCTGATTACCTTACACCCAACCTTTGTCCTAGGTCACAACCTATCCCAGACCACCCCGACACCAAGCGGCATCAACGCGTGGCTCCTACACTCGCTCGCGTCCGGCAAACCCATCGTACCAGCCGCCTTCGTCGACGTGCGCGACGTAAGCCTGGCGCACCTGCGCAGCCTCGACGCCCCCGTCGACCCGGCCGCGCCGCTGACCGAGATGCTCCTGCCAGGGCCCGCAACGACTTGGCCTGAGATTGCCAGGTTTGTTAAGGAGAAGTACCCGGCGCTTGTGAATACGTTGGATGTTGAGGCGAAGTATAATACCCCGTTCAAGGCGGATTCGGCGCGCACGGAGAGGGATCTGGGGATTACATGGCGCGGGGCTGAGGAGTATTTGTCGAGTTTGGTGGAGCAGCAGGTGCAGCTGCGGGCGAGGGCTGGGCTTTGATTACTAGGGAGGTAGTGAAGAGAAAGAGGCGGCTACAATTGGTCAAGAATGGGAGCTGGGCGGCCCGGTTTGTACTATAATGGTAATGGTGTGGAAGGAAAGAAAAGGAAAGAAGGGAGATGAATCAATCGGACATAGACTAGCATTGTTTTGTTTACTTTCAGTTCATGATACCTTGCGTAAACGCGTCTTTCATGATGAGCATCAGCAATCATTGTCTCGGGACTGCTGGAATCAATAAACCCATGGCTTCACTCCCGCCCTTTCCGCCAAAAGTTTCGCCCCAGTTTTTCCTATCTTGGATATAATAGTCCGGCAGCTGAAATTTGAAAGCTGGAAAGCATCCGTGCAGTGTGTTTCAGCGACAGGGAGTCGTCGTGGTGTCCAGGACATGCACACCTTGAGGGTCCCCCGGCCTCCCGGGAATATTTCACACGAACCTGCTAGTTTCCTTCTTCTTGGCCACCTGCCATATACCTAGTAAGATAAGCTAGTCGATAAGCATATGCATTAAAGGTGTCGACCACCGATAGACCGTCGAGGATGGCCAGGACCAGGATAATGCAAGCCACGCCAAGCATGTGTGTTCTCTTGCATGGTTTGTGACCTTTTGACATTCCAGTTTGCTTGCTGCTTGCGTCCACAGTACCCGCCTATCTCACCATTGATCTTTAGGCTCATCCATGCACAGTACGCACACACAAACATTTCCTCTTGCATGATGCTCACATATGGTCAGTTCCCAAAAGAGGCACGCCCCTGCTTATTCGACGCTGGACAAGACTGTTCTCTTTGCGGCTCCAGAGTTTATTCAAGTCACAAAGTAATACAACAATATTTCTTTCACAAAACATGAATACTGCCTTGCAAACAGAGGCACCTCCCATCCTTGATTTGAATCCTTTCCCCC